AAAAAAGACCATTCAAAAACCCACAAGGGCACAAAGAGGACAGCGGGTGACTTTGCCTCCCCTTGTCCCTACTGAAACAGTCTCTACCCTAGTGGAAGCAGAAGCTAGGAGAAGGCAGGCCCAGCTACACAGGGAAAAGCTTTCCTAGGTCTGAATTTCTGAAGGAGAAACTTCATACAGCTGCTTCACTTCACCTCAAACTTTCACTGCAGGTTTCAAGAGAGCATGATAGGGGCAGGACTCAGGTGTTTGGGGATCCTTGCTGGCCCCCAACTCTCTTCTGGAGCCAGGCATAGTACCCCCTTGCCTGGTGCTGGAGCATCTTTCTGTGTCCCTCCCATAGCAGCGCAGCCTTGCTCAGGTCTCACCTGCCAGCCTTTCTATCTGTGCAGCAAAGGGGCAGCACCACAGTGCCTCACGGCATCCATAGGACTACCTGAACCTCTCATGTGCGAGCAGGCCTTGCCCAGGGCCCAGGATAATCCACTCTCTGGAGATACACTTCCTTGGTCTTTATACTCCTGTCCCTCCCAGATTGTTGGGCGCTTGGACAAGTTTGGGGGCTCTCGGGCAGCCATTCTAGTCAGACCCCAGAAAGGACAGACTGTGCAGACACACGCGCAGGCAGCCTCTCCTCACCTGCAAGCCAAGGTGCCTTCTGCATCTGAAGCCCTTCGCCAAAGAGGTCAGAGCTGGTCACTGCTGCAGAGGGTCTCAGGGCTGAACTCCACCATCTGAGAGTCTATCCCAATGCCAGACACATCCCTCTGAGCATTAAAGCACAGCAGCCCTCCTTGTGCAAGCATGCAGCAGGACAGATGGAAACTCAAAACCAGCGCGGGGAACCAAGGTACTCCACAAACAATGTGAAAGAGCAGTTCTGCCTCCCCCCTCAAATCCGAGAGGCTTCCCCTACGATGCCTCCACAGCAGCTGAAACTGTGTCCTAGGTGGGAAGGGTAGAAGCGCAGCACCAAGGAGCCCTCCAGTGAAGAGCTGGAAAGCTGGGGTGCAGTAAAAGCTGGGCAAATGGCCACAGGGTTGGGGAAGCTCCTTGGGGTGTGCTGGGCCTTGCCCCAACCACAAGGGTCCCACAGGGCCCAGCTGGCTGCTCCTCAGAGCAGGGAGACCCTCATAATCCCAACGGTGAATCCCATTCCCTACCAGGGCCAGGCCTGAGCCGCAAGCATTGGAGTAATCAGGGCCTAGGAGACTGAATGCTTGGCTGGGGGCTGCAGAGCCCCCCCAGCTGGGCCAGCCCCCTGGCCTTGAGGAGCAATGGGGCAAGGTGGCCCCAGGGGCAGCAGGCCAAGCCCCATGCAGCTGCAACAGGCCCAAGGCAGGAGAGCGCAGGAACAGCAGCTGCGGGACTTGGTAGCAGGATCTCACACAGCCAGGCCCGTCCTGCGCCATGGGCAGCACTGGGTACCGCGGCCAGGGCTGGGGGTCAGCGACGTCCCGTCAGCGGCAGCCTCCCGTCCAACGCCC